TTTTATATGAGTTACTGCAACTATCTTATAGGGTCTATCCTCTGCAACTATAAGCCTCGGCTACTACAACTAATGGCTTTGAATACCTGCGAACAAACAAATGATGAGCCAGTACATCATAAATAAATTGAATGAATGCTGATAAATCTAAGCTATTGCAGGTAGAACAAAGTTCTAGAAAACAATAAAAGCTAAGTACTGAAAAAAAACTAGTAAAATAATAGTGTCAAAAAATGAGTAGAGTAGTGGACTACTGTGATAAGAAAAGACTATGAGCATAGAAAAATTAAAACACTAACCCAGTACCAAAACCCCGAATTGCCAAAATCATAAACACAAACCAACTCAAACAAGTACAAAATAAATTTCCAAATATTGTATAAGCAACTACTATGTATCCAAATAATCGAATTCAAAGTTTATGGGCAGCCTTATTTGTAAGACCATGGTTGTAAGACCCACTACTCGACAACTTTCAAAGGAAAGACGTAAGCCCGACCTTAGGGAAAAGCTTTAGGTAAAATTGACCTAATTCCTAAACCCCAATTAAAACACCGGCACTTCTAATATAAGCTATAAGTCCGACCTCTGAGGGAAATGTTTAGATAATAACACAACCCTAAACCTCACACGGGCATCCTAGTCTATAGGGCTTGGTTGTAAGACCCATATCTTGGGCCGCTTAGCATAAAGGGCTAGGTCGTAAGACTCATCATTAGGCAACTTCTGGGGAAGCAAGAAGATCTATCCAACTGAAAATTCGAGCTACCCTTAGTAGAGGCCGTAAGTCCCACTAACTTGGGTCACTTTCTATTGAAAAAAAATGTAGGTCCCTACCCAAATCTAATCATATGGATAACTCTTGTTGAAAAATCAAGTCAAAAGCCTCAAGAGAGAATTTCATCTTTAAATAATGCTTTGAAATACGATAATTATTATAATAATTCCTATGTTGAAAGCATGTGAAATTTCTATCATAGGATCTCCTACCCAAACAATTAAAGCATTCAGACATCCCAGCCTATAGGGTTAGGTTGTATGTCCCACCAACAGGCCACTTCTAAGTGAAGTCGTAAGTCCCATGTATTAAGGATACTTTTAAAATAAATTACAACACCCTAACGCTTCTATAAATTACCAAACAACTTCTAAGGAAACTATTGAATCTTCTAACCAACCTTCCAATCAAAATTTATGGGCATCCTAGTCTATAGGATTAGGTTGTAAGGCCCACTATTAGGCAACTTCTATGTAAAGTAGTAAGACACACGTTTTAGGAAAATTACGAAATAAATAGCAATAATCCTAAATCCCAAACAATCAAATTTAAACCTATGGGCATTTTAGTCTAAAAGGATTAAGTTGTAAGACACGCTTTTTACAAATTACTTCCTAAAGGAAGCCATAAGTCCTACCCAAATAATTAAAACCTCCGGGCATCCTCGCTGTAGAGTTAGGTTGTAAGACCCATCTTTGGGCAACTCATAAATATAGTCGTAAGCCCCATCCTAAATCAACTACCTTTGTTACTTTCTACGAAAGACGTAAATTCCAACCTCAATCTAAATACTATGGCTACTTCCTAAAGAAGCCATAAGATCCGCTCTAATCCAAACTCTGGGGTTACTTCTAAATGAAGTCATAAATCCCCCAACTAAATTAATTTCTGGGTATTCTAATAGATGTAAACCCCAAAACACTCAACAAAATTAAAACTCACATTTAACCACTTCAATCTACTCGGGATCCGTAGGAGGAGGCAATCCATGACTGCTAATCAGATTCCTTGGAAACTACGATCAATGATTGTTAGTGCTGGTAGACTGGAACTATGGTATACCCGGGATGACGGAACCATGAGATCTTGATCGGGTTTACATTTACTTTCCCTAATTAACTATGAGTGCTTGCACTCATGGAAAGTAAGGACCCAGATCTTTAAACCCTGACATTACTCTCAGGGAAAGTCTGGTTAACTTCAATCTTACTTAAGGGAAGTAGAATCTTATAGATGCAAAGTGTGATTCATGCATTTGTGCCATTTTTCTTGAGCCAATAGTTATTTTCTTCAACCTTTCAATTTAAAAATTGCATAAACATGCTTAATTAATTTCAAAGTGTGGTGGGTATAGCCTATAGACCTTTGAGGGCTATAGAATACTCTGCACTTGCTTCACAACAATAACAACAACAACAACAACAACAAGCTTTTGTCCCTCTATGTGGGGTGGTCGGCTACATAAATCATTTTTCTCCATTGTGTCCTGTTAAGAGTCAAAATCTCAATAAAATCTAATAAAGAAATGTCATTTCAAATATTTTCTAATCAAGTCTTTTTAGGTCTACCTCTACCTTTTCTTAATATAAGTCAGATCTAATACATTTACTTTCCCAACCGGGTCATCGAATGGCCGCCGTTTATTTGACCAAACCATCTAAGGTGACTCTCTAATCTTTTCTTCCACTAGAGCTACTCCAACCTTTTCACGTATATGCTCATTTCGTATCCTGTCTTTAAGAGTAAACCCACTCATCCACACTTGCTTCACAAGCACATAAAATTAAGTGAGCATGTTCATGAATTTTGCAAGTTTTAGATAGACAATAATCCTAGCAAAAGGCCTACAACGCGTATTTTTTTTCGTAAGTCCATATAAAGAAATTCAAACCTTAACATCATGCAATTTAGTTTGGTCGATTGTATGGCCACCGAATTTGAATCCAATGATTACAAAAGACTAGGTTTGTTTATAGGCAACAGATGGGGATGCAATATGAATGCGAATTCATGCATTTGAGGATCATTGAATATAAGACCAACGGCCTGGTGTATATCACAATCCTCTTTAAGTTCTTACGTGAGATTGGTCCGTTGGAAATCATTGGATTTCCATGGATTTGCAAAGAGGGCAGCAGATATAAGATTTTTTGGGGAGAAAAAAATAAGGTTTTAAGGGACCTAAGAGTTTTGGGAGCGTCAAATATGCATCCATTCACTTGGAGACCTAGGGTTTCTTAAGTTTTAGGATTATACTCACTGAAATTAATGTCCATGGTTTCGGCCGTAGTACCTTGTTAAAGAGATAAAAGTAATTAAAATGACTAACGAGCTGCTTTCCAAAATGCCTCGAACAATGCTTTTGCCATCACCTCACTGGATTTGATATCTAAGGTGGAAGAGACCCTTTGCCTATAGAGATTATTACGCATTGAGTCTGGACCAGAGCTGCGTCCAGATTCTGTGAGTGTGCGCAGTAAAAGCACAACAAAAGCGCAATGTGCACAATATCTGCCCTTTTACTGAGCACACTCACAGAATTCAGACAGCTTTCCTGTTTAGACTCCACACATAATAATCTCTCCTTTGTCTACATTTGATCCTTGCTAGGCTTTGGAGAGAAAAGCAGAAAATAGCCTCTAGTCTTTGTCTGGAAGAATGATAGCAACAAAAAGAAACTTTCCTACCTCAATCAAAGGGGGAAGAAGATAGCAACCGCAAGTGGAAGCTCCCTTGGTCGCAAGACAGCATCTCCCAAACACAATATCTCGCCCAAATTCCCCCATCCCATTCATTTATGTTTCCCGATTTTCTCCCAGACATGCACAAATAGGACGCTTCTGTCCCCTTCTCAGTTTAGCTTTAGATGCACGCGAGAAAGAGACCTCCACTTGTCTCTCAGTTTCTCCTTGAAGGAACAGACCCAATGAAGTTCGATTTGGGTTGACTCGAGTCGAGTGTGCATGAAAATTGAGCTAATAGTTATTTTGATGATTTTATTATAAGGAGTATCCTTGAGCGAGGTGTGCGATGCACAGTGCATGACCAACCTAGCTATACGCGTTGATTGTTGACTAGTAATTATAGTTACTAAGAAGAAGCCGCTCATATCTAAAGGCAATGATGAAAACATGAGCAAAATTTGGACATTTAATGTGGAAGTGGCTGGTGCTTTGATATTCATGGCCACTACCCCTTGGTTGGGAGAAATTATTAGTTGCGAAGTACAGTTATAGCTTTTCTTTCTTGCACACACCCTGTGTACAAAAAAGAAAAAAAAAAAGGTGTCTTCACGACTTTGCTCGTAATAATTTTTCCTTGGTAGGGCATGCATGCAATTGGGTTGCTTTGTGAATGTTAGGTGCGTCATCAATAATCAAATATGCCAACCGTATCTTTCTTGGCTACTGCTATGGGAACTCCATGTTGCAAGTTTGCATATCAGTAGGAAATGAGCACCTTAATACCTTTTAGGTTAGAGGAACTCTGCATTCCCTATGATCATTTCAAGCTAGGGCTGCATGTAAATTTTATTTAGAAATGCTGATGGTACAAAGATCCATATTAGATGAAGTTGAACCCAAAAATTTAAGCTAATAGGTGAGGGTCAGGAACTCAACTCTTTCATTCATGCATGATGTGGGATTATTTTTCTACTCTTAGGTGAGTATTTGCTCTCTACCTTACATTAAAGTTTTCATATCGACTATAACTCCCCTTTGAATGAAAGTTTTTCAATATCACAAAGTATCATACAATAAGATCAAACTCAACTATATGGAGCTTGAATGGGAGTCATCTACTTCTAACATGGTAGAAGCTGTTCAAATCTATATAAACCACAGGCCACTTGAGACGCTTGATCCTAGACAAACCATAGCTCTAATACCATTTGTTAGGAGGGTGGAACACTAGGGGGGACAATCTGAGCTTAATATTATGAACACCCATCAACCCAAAAGATAGTCGATAATAAGAATACAGCCTTTATTAGCGATAAACTGGAATTAAAATATTGAACCTTGCTTAGAAAAATTTAGCTGTGCTTTGTTTGAATTAATGGCCAAATTTTTATCGAAGGCTTTTTAAAAATTGAATCCTGAGTTAATTTTTATGTGTGCCACTAAAAGAAAACGACTGTTCATATAAAGAAAACCTCTTTTTCAAAAAATTATTTCTATTTGCTAATTTGTCAGATTTAAATGCATTTTGCTTGTATTAATGGGCATTTCCACATCAGTTGGAGAAAGAATCAGCTGCGAAAGGAATTCCTTTTGGGCAAGCTAATGACATAGATATCCCTCCTCCACGACCTAAGAGAAAGCCTAACAGTCCGTACTCTCGTAAAACTAGAGTTTGTTGTGTACCTCCTGATGCAGAAGCAGTTGATGAGAAAACATTAACATCCATCAGTTACCGCACAATCAATAAGCAAGACTTTCACTTGGAGAAAAATGCACCAGTAGATGTATATGTTCTATTTCTCCTATTGTTATCTTTTCCTCATCACTAGTATTTTCTTCATTTAGCTTTTACCTTCTCAATCGTTTGTCAGGTTTGCCCTCCATTAAAATCAGTGCAAGGAACAGATGTCTTTTCTGATGGGAGTAATTGTTCGTTAGTTCTAAATCTTTTCCAAAATGCTCCATCTACTTCGGTCTGCTCTGACAACAAAGACTCAACCAAACCAATAGGTTTCATAGAGTTTGTTCCCATGGTGAAAGAACCAAAAGAGTTACAGAACGTGGGAGGATCTTCTCCGTCATTTGAACTCAATAGGGAATCTAGCATGAATGTCATGACTATATCAGATCAAGCACTAGATAGGATAAATGGAGTTAGCATTGATCTGCATGAACTACAAACAAGTTCTGATATTCAGCAAGATGCTCAGGGCCATGAAGATCAGGTAGCTAAAGGCATTCAATCAACCTGCATTGATGGAAACCCTAATGTTACAGTTGAGAGTGGAGGTTTCCCTTCCAGTGCTAGTCCATTTATGAACCACCCAGTAGCAATACCTTTTGGATTCCGTTCCAGTTCGTCAATTTCCTCCCTTCATCAGCCAGCTTTCCCTCCATTTGCTCGGTTCCACAGTAGCCAGGATTTCTACAGGTCATTCCTTGGTTTTTCGTCAAATTTTTCTAGTCTCATAATCTCAACCTTGCTGCAAAATCCAGCTGTGGACGCAGGGTGTATGGCCGCATCTCTATGGCCTTCTGGAGAAATGGATTCTTTAATGGATTCCTCGACTATGGCAGCTATTGCTGCTGCGACAGTTGCTGCAGCAGCATCATGGTGGGCATCTCAAGGACTTCTCCCATTCTTTCCTTCCAACCTTGCAGCCGGGTTTACATGTCCTCTACAACCCGATGCATTTCCCAATGTGAACACAGGTCAGTCTCCACATGATAAAATGGAAGGAGACAATGCCTACCAGAATTCTTCAACAACTGATCAGAAAGATATAGCCGTTTGTCCTGAAAGATTGAGATACTTGAAAACACACACTTCCTCATCAAAACCACTGTTACACTCATCATCAGATTCAGAAATTGGAAATGAAGCCTCTAATGTCAACAATGTAAAAGCATTTTCTTGTAATAATAATTCAGATGAAGCAATGATCAGTAATAAACCAGAACGCTCTTCTTGTGGCTCCAACACTCCTTCCAGCAATGAAGTGGAGACAGATGCAGCGCTCATGACTAATGTTGAAAAAAAAGATGAGGATAAACAAGTACAATTCCAAAATCTTCCACTTGGTGATTTCAATGTTCATCGTGCTCGAAGTAGTGGAAGCATGAATGAATCGTGGAAGGAGGTTTCCCAAGAGGTTTTAAGTCAATATTTGTTCCTTTTTTGTCACTTAAGCATCATAGTTGGGAGCAGGCACCGCTGTTTGCCTAATCTCTCCTTTTTGTCTTGAGACTAATCTTTCCTTTTTGTCAGGGTCGTCTTGCTTTCCAAGCACTTTTTGGCAGAGATGTCCTACCTCAGACCTTTTCACTTCAACTTGTTAAGGTTGAAAAGGTAAAGGATCTAAAACAATGTCTGTTTCTTTAGAATGAAAGCGTTTTTATTTTTTTATTTTTTTTATTTGTAAATATCACAGAATGTTCTAAATTTGCTGATTTAAATTAGTAAATTCTAGCTAGAATTGTCAGCAATTAGAAGTAACGAAGGTAGATGTTGACCATCCCTTCGGAGGAAGATAGAACCTGTTAGGGGTTTATATTTGCTTCATGTCCTCATCGTTATATATAATTAGCCCTCTCCCAAGTTGAAATAGAGATAAGAAATACCTGCCTACGCCAATATCCGAGCACTCGAGTGGCTACCAGGCCAGGCACCAACGAGCGTGAGAATCTAGAGTGGGGAACATGCGTTGCGCAAAATTTTTTGTTTAGGTTTTATTCGGAACATTTTTTTTATTGCTTCTTAAAACGTCTTTGTAGTTTAAAAAGAAAATATATTTATATACTAAAAAATTACATTAAGAAGCAGTGAGAAAGCCATCTCAAACAAAGCTTTAGTATAGCCAATTTTCCATATTACTACCCTATTTAGGCGGCAAGCAGCAAGCCAATGGGGGCTCAGGCCCCCAGCCTGAATCCGCTATTGCTCCCAACTATTTGGAATGGTATTTGAGTCACCTCAACTGCCTTAGCAAATAATGCAAATGCCTACTCCTGGCAGCTGACCTGCTTCATTTATGTTTTTCACAAAGAATGCTTTTAGCTAGTTCAGCAATAAACAAGAAACTATTTCAATGTTTTTCCTTGTTTATTCAAGCCTACAAGAGTAATTTGTGCTTAGATGTTCACATCTTTTAAAGCTATAACGCCCAAGAAATTTCATCACTCTCATGGTAAATTGGAATATGGGAACCTAGTAAAATGTTAAATTATTGCAAAGAACTGATACTGAACTGAATTTTGTGCAATATCTCTTCCTTCACCACAAGGGATTTCCAAAGGACACGCTGGCGGGAAGAGACAAGGTTGATGAATGTGGCTTTCTTTCAAACAAAATTGGACATGGAAATGCGAAACTGCATCGAACCGGATTCAAACCTTACAAGAGGTGCTCTGCACAAGTTGAGGATAATAGTTCAGCTCATAACGAAACCAGTAACAAGAGAATTTCTATACGAGAAGCTTCGTCTTGACAAAACTTCTCTGATTATCATGATGAGCTCGCTGTAGATTGTAGCTTCTAGATCATGAAGCCTGCCTTCGTGCATCAGATCTTGAATACTTTGCGTGTACATCGTATCTTCTTTTTGTCGTGGTAACTGGGGGCAGACAAGCAGCGACGCTTTGCAGTAAAGTGAACTGCTTAGAAGCTGCCCATCTACGGCTGGTCAGAGCTAATCTAATGTCGCTCAGCATTGTAAATTAGCAGTCTAATTACCCTGTGCTGTTATGTAAAGTCAGTTACTCTTCTATCTATTTATAAAGACGTCCTAATATTCATCTCCTACTGCTCCTCTCCAAACAATAAACTACTTCTAAAATTGTAAGAGGTGTGAGGAAATAAAACTTACTTGGCCTCACACTTTTAGGATGAGTTTATTTAATTACAAGTGCGCATATAATAATGCGTTGTCTCAAAGCACTTTTGTAGAATCGATTAATTAATATTTTGCCTGCAAAACTGTTGCTCTCTCATTCTATAGATCAACTTCTTCATAACTATCTTTTTGTTTGGATTTCATACACATTGTGTAAGTTTGTTAGCTGACTTCTACCTTTTTTTTTTTTTGGGGAAATATTAGATTTTATTCCATACAAAAATTGGTTACATGGTGTTTAAAATGAATCCACGGTTCATTGATGCATCAAGAGCTACATTTAAAAGACAAAATTATAGAGCCAGGATCCAAAACTAAGATACAAAGCATACGCAATAAGTAAATTACAGGAAAGAAGTCAAGCTCAAAAAATTCAAGAGGAAGTAGATAATGATTGTATCCTCATTAAAGACCAAAGACAAAAACCAACATTTCTCCTGCGAAAAAGATATGAGATCCAGAATAATAACTGTTGAAGAATAACAAAGCTTATAGTACCCCGATCCATGCCAAATATGTTTGCCAAAACATATTCCAGACTAGAGAGGAAGAGTCATCAGCCAACTATGAGAGCGGATAAGAAACAATATCTCGAGAAGAACATCCAAAAAACTATGTAATCACTGGATTAGAAGAATTAATAAAATGTATAGCCACCAAATAGAAGGGACAAGTTGAGGCTAAAGCAAGGAAAGGGAAAACATCCACAAACTAACATTAGAGATAAAAATAGCACTCGCAAGGAACAGGGTGATTGAACTAATGTAAACGAAAGAGTGAATCTTCCAACAGAAAATTCACCATTCAACAATATAATAAAAGTTGAGCTAATAAAATAATCAATATAATATGAATAATCATATGAGAAAAGCCCAGAGATAAAAAATGACAATAGCCATATTGAAAAGTTCTCTATTCCAAACTCCAATAGGAACCAAAAAGAGCGCATATAATTTACTCAGAACGAGCAACCCAATCAAAATCGGGCACACTAAATTAGAGAGAAAAGATTAAAATTGAGGGAACCCACCAGCAACACCAATAATAAACCACCTAAGACAAGACTCACATAAATTAGATATGGAGCAAATCAAGATAACCCTTAACAAAAAAGAGAAAATAAACAAGGCATTGGAAAAGAAAATGAAGACAACTAAGTCTAATTAACATCAAGGAACATAACCATAGTATTAAAACCCTTCCAACCAGAGGAAACAAAGAAACGATAGCTAATTATATGGAATACACTATACTCAAAGGGGGAACTAAAGGAAAACACTCAAAAGTAAAAGGCTCCATTAAAAATGACAAAAGTCTTCTAATAAAAGAACAAAAAAACTTTTTGTATAAGTGTAGAAATAGCCTCAAGCACCACGACGCTCGGAGTATGGGCACTATAGCATTGTAAAATGAACTAGCACGTCGGTGCCGTGAAACTTGCTCCATTATGGTACTATGCTGATCTGTCACTATTAATAGTTGAACTGATGCATCTTTTGGCTAGGTTAATGCAACAATTCATATTTGCATCTACTCCATCGTGGCGCTACAAAATTTGAGTGTTTCGACACTTGAAAGCACAATCCAACACCACAAAATTGAAATGATATATGCTCTAATGCTCATTTTCTCAAGACTTTAGTGTTCTAGTGCTGATTTCTAGTGTAGTGATGCTACGAAGCACTACAACACTGATCATGTCTATACTGTGACACTGTTTTTCTTAAATTCCTGAGAGATCGATGTTGTAATGTCTAAAATAGGTGCTAGGGTGTTATAGATGATAATGTTGGGGGGTTGGGTCTGTTGGTGCTATAGCGCCTATTCAATACTTATGAACTTTTTCCTTATCCCAAACATTTCCTGCACAAACATAACTAAAACAACATGTTCTTACTAAATTTTAATATAATAAATAATACACAATTTATACTTAACAAATATGAATTTAATTGGAAGATAAAATAATTGCTATTTTAATACTTATAATCTAAATTGGAGGAATCATCTGTGGGCTCCGAAAATTCGGCCTCGGCCTCCACTCGCTTTTCTTATTCGGCTTGAGAGTTTTAACGGACTAAGTTCCGAGGTAAATTTTGGAAGGCAGATGGGTTTGTAGATAAGACACTACCCAGAGATTTCGCCCTCATTTTGTGAGGACTTTATAATCTGAGTTCTGGTTTCCTATAGGCTCAAGCCCCTATAGTTAATTACCCCTACCACTAACAAGAGAGAACTTTCGATTAAGGCTAGTCGTCAATCAGATACGTATAGAGATACGTGTTATCTGGCGTATAGTAGCAGCATGGGTTTGGGTATTGAAAATTGGTTTTGGAAATTGGGTTTGGGTTTGGGTATTTGTAAAGGTTTGGAAAGTTTTGGGAATTTGGAGAATTAGAAGATTTGGAGATTTGATATTTAAAACAGAAGTTTCACCATCTTTCACTTAAAGCGGATGGTAGGGGAATGGATGATGGGC